AAGCACAACTCCCATATCCAATTACTTTTCAGATATCTAATCCCAGGACACAATTAATAACGCATGGGGGTGTTTTGGAATTTAATGCAAATGATGATAGGGTTTATTTACCAGAATGGATGTATAATTCGCTCTCTCTCGTTGAAGGCGCGGAAGTTACCCTTCGATTAAAAGAACTACCAAAAGGAACTTGGGTAAAATTTCGCCCAATAGACACTGAATATAAGAAAATAAAAGACTATAGGTAAGCCTTATTAATGCGGAATTTACAATCCTTTCAATTTATAATAATTAATGTCTCTTGTTTATATTTATAGGGCGGCCTTTGAAGGATATCTACGTTCACATTTTACTACTTTAACTACAGGAGAAATTCTTACAATCAAACAGGCAAATTCTTCTTATCAATTTATAGTGGAATCTTTAAAACCTGCTAAAGCTGTACGAGTTGTTGATACAGATTTGGAAGTTGAAATATCACCGCTCGTTGATGAAGAAGCTTCTTTAAATATGGATAAGGACATTCATGTTGGACAAACTGTTGAAGGTAGTATTCAAAAGAATGATTACGCTTATTGGAACTTAAAAAGTATCGAAAAATCACGTGGATTAAATATTGTGTTAACTATTAAGGAAGGGGATGCAGGTAAATATGATTTTCAATAATTTCTAATACTATAATTATCTATTCACTTGATTTTTAATTTAGATATTGGCTGATCGTCCATTCAATATTATGTTTTCAGATCTCGTCGTATCCAATGTCCAGTTTCCAAAAGATGATGACCATATTTGGTCAAATTTTTCATCTGATCCTTCGAAGTCCGTATTTATCGCGTCCACAAATTTCGAATATGCTACTAAAGATGATATTCACATTGGAGTTCATGGATATGGTGATTCGTCAAATCCTTATGAACTAACAGTAACGCATTCTGACCAACCACCGACTATGTCAGAGCATTCATTGGAATTAATTAATGATCATGCTCCTGGGTATATTCAATGTAGAAATTGTGGAAGCTGGATACCGGAAAGAACGATAGCTTTACATTCAAATTTCTGTGAAAGGAATAATATCATGTGTAGTTCATGTAATAAAGTAATGAAAAAAGGAGAAGAGAAAAATCATTGGCATTGCTCTAAATGTGATAAGGTAGATTTTACTTTTTTTTTGCTATTAATTGCAATGCACAATATATCGTTTATTAACATTATTTATTTATTATTTAGTTCGGTAATATTTCGGAACAAGCAAAACATAATGATATTTTTCATACAGAACACAAATGTTCATGTGGGTTTACAACAGAGTCATTACCAGATTTAGCATACCATAGACGAACGATGTGTCCGGACAAACTTATAAAATGTAGATTTTGTCTTAATTTAGTTAAGCAAGGAGAGCTGTCGACCAATCAGAATGATATTTTGGAAGGTTTTTCTTCTCATGAGTCATATTGTGGAGGTAGAACTATCACATGTTTAAAATGCGGAAAAGCTGTTATATTAAAAAATGTCGCGGTTCATGCAAAAATGCATGAAGTTGAAAAACAAAATCAAAGGTTACCACCACTTTGTAGAAATGCTAATTGCACGAGAATTTCAGCAGATAACTCATTAAAATTATGTACAGTTTGTTTTGGACCTTTTTGGTCACCAACAGCAGATCCAACACGACAAATGTTATTTAGAAGAGTAGCTAGAAAATATCATCATCAATTAACTGTTGGATGTAAAAATTCTTGGTGTAAAAATGAGGTAAATATTTAATTTTTAAATGAAAACATATCATTGTTTTTTGATAAATTACTAAATTTAATTATTTAATGATTTAGTATTGTGCAACAGGTAATTCACAACCAAAAGATGCCACAACAGCGGCAACTACTTTAATCCCACTTTTACAGCAAGTTCAGTCAGCATCGATGTATTTTTGTGTGGATGAAATTACCATGAAAAAACGTTTACTTGCAAATTTTTTATATAAAGGAGAGGATGGTCAAGGTACTGAAGGAGAATTTTCTATTGAATTTTGTGTTAAAGCAATAGAAGTTGAGAATGGGGATTTAGTTAAAGCGAGGCAATGGTTAACATCAAATGCACCTAATAATAATCTTAACTCTAGAAATTAATTTTATAATGTAATATTAAATTTCAAATCATTTTTGCAAAGAAATTATTAAATTAATAACTTAATTTACTTTTTATATGAACATGCTGTAACTTATAATAAAAAGAAATTTAAGATAAATAATAGAATATTCTTAATTAAAATGTATGAATACAGTAGTTTGCGTAACCTATTTTCGCGATGATATTTGTTTAATATATTCGTAAATTGAAACGTAATAACTGCGCCTCTAGATTTGGTCTATGAAGATGATTCGCGAGAGGATGTATCAGATCGTCCGAAAATCTTGTAAATTTTACCTCCACCTGATTATAAAGCCGGAAAAAGTTCGATTATAAGATTTTTCTAGAATTGTATCGAAGTGTTAAACCAACATAACTCATTTTTATTTGCAGGAAATGATCGTGTTTGATATATGTTAGAATTTTCGGTCGATGTTTTTTTATTTTCGTCTCAATTTTAATAAACATCCCGAAGTTTCATATTATTAAATTAGTTGAATCCCTTTGAATCCTGCAACTTTAATAATTTCATATGGCTGATAATAGAAAATGTATGGAATTTCAAAATACTAAATAAAATTTTATTTGTTAGGTAACAAGAAAATTAAGCAAATGGTTTTGAAAAGAAGGTATGTACTGTGTAATATTTGCTGTGTGAGAATGCAAATGGATCGTTTTTGATTACTTTTTGATTATAGAAGTTTGTTGTACAAACTATGTGGCTTTTTTGATTATTGAAAAAAAAAATGTGGCGTTTTTGATTAATGATGTTGATTAAATACCTAATTTGAAAATATCACATATGTGTTATTGTTGATAAAAGTGTAAATTAAAAATTTTATTTTATATAGAACGCGAAAAGATTTTTTACTATTAATATATAAACTTAATGTCGTGTTTTTTATTTTACGCGTTTAATTTAGCTTTTGTTTTCTCTTTCTCTTACCTTACATGTTTAACTTGACTTTATCTTTACAAGTTATAAACTTATTTCTAGTTATTATATACTTTTATTTTGCATATTTAGCCAAACTTATTTGATATGGAAAGTTATGAAGAATAAGTTAAATATAACAATGATGGCTCAGTAAATGTACCTTTTGGCCGAGCTGCTGAGTGGTATTTAGCAAATTTATCTATTCTAAAAAATTGTCGCTTAAAAAACCAAAGTAGACAAATTACACCTGCATTAATTTATAACTATTGAACATGTACAAGGAGCAGTAGATTATTTAGAATGGAAAATTAAATTAGTGACAAAAAAATCTACAAATCGTATTGATGATATAGTGGTTCTAACTTCAAATGGAAATGAATTACTTTCACAAATAAATTTAGGAATAGAAAAAGATCAGCAATGCATTATTGTATTGTTCAGGTGATAGAAATACTTGTCAACGCCTATGTGGTGATATTAGTAATTGTTTGAAAACGTGATAATTATTTTTTTCTTAAAAATTTAAAAAATGCTAATGATATGCATTTATATAGTATTAGAGTAATTTCTGAATGTCACTTATCATGGTTAAATTCAAAAACTCAATTACATATTAGAATTCAAGGATCACATAATCCAACACAATATGTAAATAATACACCAAAAATTTCTCGAATTAATTTGACTTATGCTATTAGAGATTCAATAGATCATAGAACTACCAAGAGTATTAAAGCTAAAATATTAACTCCATTTAATGGTACTTCAGAAGAAGTAATTAGTAAAACTTTAACAAATTAACATCAAATTTTTGATAATAATCAACAACTTATTAAAAGGGATAATAAAAAATTCAAAGATAATTTGGACACATAAACACAACTTAATGATTTAATTGTTAATGAATTAAAATCTCATGATTATATTTTAAATTATCAAATTCCAGATCTTAATAAACCTATTGATTCATCTGATTGATATTATCAATTAATATTTTTAGATGAATTTTGATTAAAAAATAGTTAAGATTATGGAAAATTATGTATTAGAATTAATGGTAAATATAATTTAAATATAGATCATGCTCTTGTATTGTCTATTATTTTTGAAAATGAGGTTGATTATGATTTACCTTTTGCATTTGGTAATTATTTTAATTTATTATTATTATTATATTATATATTTATAATAATATTCTAATAAATTTTTTTAATTATATAATAAATAGTTTTAAGTAATAAAGAAAACATTTATCTATAAAATTAGCAATCAAAACTATTAAAAAAAAATATTTCTTGTAATAGCATAGTATGTCAACACAAATGGTATTATGAGGATTTAGTATCAGAAAATAGTTTTCAACAAGTTCGCAAATGTTAAAATAATGATTGGAAGCCTTATATAATAATCAATAAGCATTAACCTTCAAAACTTGCAATTCAAAATATTTTATACAGACCTATTTTATGTTAATTTATATAATGAAAACTTTTAGAGAAAATCTTAATAATTGATATATACTTGAAAATTTTCAGTAAATTTAAAATTTTTTAATAATTAATTACTTATATTTTTATTTAGATATCCAATTGCATTAGCTTTTAAATTTATAAGATGTTGTTAAACTGAAATAGTTGCAATTGAAATGACTAAACTATTAAATAAATTTATAAATAATTTGTTTATTGAAAAAAATAAAAAGAAAAAATCATAAATGATTTATTAAAGAATTAGATATATTCTAAATAGAGATTAAGTTTTATTAATGTTAACATTATCAATAAAGTAATTGATCAATTATAATAAAGTCACGTGAATAACGCAGTATAATAATTTCTTAATTCTGAATTCTGAAAATACTGAAAATTCTGCGAATTCTGAAAATATGAGGGATCTATGTAATTCTAAAGATCTTTCAAATACTAATAATAATACTAATTTTACAAATTAAATGAAGTCTAAGAATATTTAGTGTTATACTTATTTTTAATATTCTAAATTTTATTATTATTTTTATTATATTTTATATTT